GCTGAAAGTCTCACAAAAAGCCGTGAATTACTCGGTCAATGTTCCTTGACATTTACACATTCAAGTCTGATGCTGGTGCAGACCATTCGAAGGCTTCACTGAAACATTGTGCTTCAAAACAAGACGTGAATTTTTTCCGTCTTTGCACGCCTCTGACCATGAACAATTACGATCACAGCCGACGTCCTCACCTCCAACAAAGCAGGACCTCAAAACGCAGGTGCACATCTGAAACAGCCGTCCCTACAACTGTATTAACTATTGTTTAAAACAAATCGATTTTTTGATAACCAACTTTGTTCATCCCAAGCAGGACCCGTCACCAATCCTTAATCCAGACGACTATTGACTATGAGGATCGTCATTTCCTAACTGAGGTGACAGCCTCGGTTTCAGGAGGTCTTTCATATGCCCTACTGGTTGCATTCTCGGACATGATAAGACATGCGTTCAACATGGCCGGCAATTTGGTCCTTGGTTGGTCTCCTGACCGGTAATCATGTTGCTTTGCGAGCCAATCCCAAGTGACTCGATTTTTCGAGTCAAAACCTTCTTGATTTGAAGAATAAATGACTCATAACGACAGTATGCTGGACAACATATTTTCAAAGCTTTTCGAGTGTCGCTGTATCAACCAAATGGCATCAAACCTGTGCTTCGATAATTTCTTTCTAGTAAAGCCCCATCAAAAGCTCACATCGCCCAAATCTTGCAGTATACCCGAATCACGTTGTTGCCGATGCTCTGCCCTAGAGGCTGTATTATATCATAACAGGTTTTGACTTGGCTTTCATCCACCGGATTCGATTCCTGTCTCTTTCTCATCTATATTATACTTTTTCGTACTTTGGTATGCTAACTGTTGCGTCTGGAAAACTTTCGCCGAAAGAAAACGTCGATCTTTCTCATGCATTCATAATGGGTCATTTTTTGACGCCTTTCCTTTCATGAAGTTCATGAAGGGGCGCTGATCCCTATTTCTATTCGATCAGCCAAGAGTGTGGTAGTGTGGAGTGTTCTGTTTCCTTCTGAGAGAATGGTACTCAGTCATCTACCTCAGTAACCTCAAACGGGGCTTGAATCTGAGTACTCTGTTTTGAGTCTGCTGCTCCACTCGTTACGCAACTCCAGCCAATATTGCAACGTGCTGCAAATTCTTCTCATAAAGGAATTCAGGGTTAAGATAATGATTACCCTCCACCGCATGAGGAGTTCGAAGCTGACCTCTTTGCCGTCGTGAATTCATGCCAATTCACTAATAAAAATGTTGTTCAGCAACTTATGATATTTTAGTTGCAAAATAAACATACAAGGGAAGCTCATTTTCAGGAAAATATGTGAAGATGGAATAATTGCTGTAACTGCCGTATAATTATAATGAAATAATAGGAGGCGAAAAAGAAAGTGGAAATAAATCTAACAAAAAACACCATAAGAAAAAATAAACAACGAAAAAATAAAGCAAAAATGTGGAGTATCAGTATTTCCATGAGTGCTACGTCCAATCCCCTTAAAAAATGTTCACCTGCTTTTGAAGACCGTTAAGCTGTGCACCTCTTAGTATGAATTTACTAATTGTACCGAAAAGCAGTTAGAGGTAATTACATTCATATACACTAGCAATTAATGATTTAGGCAAGTTGCTTTAGTAAAAAAAATATGGGCAAATATACTTATTCAAGTATTTATTTCCTGGTAATGGAAATTAAAATTCATCAATTTGGAAGCCTTCCTGGTCCAGACCACGGAATGAATACGGATTGCAGACCACGTATGTCAGAAACGTGGCTTAATCTACAGGAATTTATTTCCAAAATCACTGCAATATCGAAATGATGGAAAAGAGCTGGGGGTATTTTCTTGTGCATCTGCCCAAATGTTGAATTTAAAGCTTGTTGATCAGAATATCCGTCCAAGTTGAGGAGTTGGAGGGTTTTTTGTCATTTAGCTGATGAGGGCTGTAAGCTCCACTCGAACCTAATCCTTTACACGTACTGGATTTTTGCCTGTCCGTTCTTAATCTGACTTATCATCGCCATGAGCGCCAAGAATGTAAGTCGACGTCCTTCAAGTCCTTTCTTTCGATATATTAGCGATAGCTGTGATAACACTCAAGCGAATTAATCACTTGTCAATGAGGTGCAAGCACAACGTAACCTTAAACAAAACAGTGTTGATCATATAAAAAACGAGATGAGGTCACAGAGCATTTGCATGTTTAATCATGATTCATAAATTATGTATCATATTAAAAATCATACATGATTTCTTTATGCGGATGATGATATAATCCTTTGGTAAGTCATAAACGGGAAGACCACGCATAAAATGTTCTTTAATTAGAGACATCTGACGTTTTGGACCAAACTCGATCCGTCTTCAGAGTATATGTATCATAGTGACAAATATATCAATGACTGCATTTCGTCAGCATCTTGCGGAGTAGGCAGAACTCGGTCAGAGAAAATCTCCTGACTATTCATATTTTGTCTTAACAACGTAGCTTTGTGCTTGCCTCATGGGTTGTTGCATAATCGATGACGATGTCTTAAATTTGTCTGGAACATATCTTTTCCGTTTTGCTGTCGCAAAGGTTACCTTCTTTCACTGCCAAAGTGGGTCCTTGAGAAACCACTGTTTGCAAAGCAAAGCCAAGTAACTCATTTCTGTTGCGTTTCTGCTTGCCTGCATGCATGCTCAAGTTTGGATTTGGAACGTGAGTCGCTTCTACCGCTTTCTTCTCCTTTTTGTAACCTGATTCCTGATGCTTCAGCAACCTCATTTCTGAAGTTGAATATCTCCAGCAAATATTAACAATAATTTACAGTACGATTTTAAACTACATCTTAAAACTCATGCGCTTCAAATTAGTGACATTCACTCACTTCGG